GTGTATACCGTTCTGCAAAAACACCTTCTGTTTAAACAATATATAAAAAACATCGTATTTTTGATAGTTTTAAGGTTTTTCCAAGTAAATGTTAACAAATTTTCTTGAATATTTATTTATAAATACTATATATTGGTGGATAGAATGGTACCTTGATTTTTTTCATTATAAAAAATTCTTTCTCGGCGTTGGACCCGCAAAGCAAGGTGTAACATGGAAGTGTTTTCTGCTCGCAAATGTATGTATTAAAATTACTTAATAATAAATTAATATACTTTGTATATATAATTATATAATTATATATAATAATAATAAATATATATTAATAAATATATTAATAAATTAATAACATATATATATATAATAAATATTATATATAATTAATACAAATTAACGTACATTAGTTCTGATAAAAGTTGATTTTTTATTCTTCAGTACTTACCGCTGTTTTTCAAGACATGTTCAATCACTCGCTGTAATCATCGCAATCGCGATACTCCTCGAAGAAGTGCTGTGAGCACAAATGTTTTTTTTTTTTTTTTACACCACTTTCATAATTACCGGGGCACGTGCAAAGCGACGAAACGTGTTTAACAAATACGCGTCAACGGGCGTGCATTTTGGTGCGAGCAGCGTGCGATAAAATGAACGACACGGGTCGGACCATCGACAAGGGCAAAATATCGCAGAGACATTAAACGGGCTGGCAATTTGCGGAAGAATCGTCCGGACAGTCGGGAGTGGTTTATTGAAACAAGTTCAACAGGTACCGGCCACGGTCGAAACGCACCGCGCGATTTACAATTTACGCTAATGGCGCGTCGAGTAGGCGTACCGTAGTTTTCGTTTGGCCCGCGACAACGAAGGATCGAATCACGTTTTGCCGTGATCTATCGGCGAGGGCCGCGTAACGCGCGCGCTCGCGCGGCTGATTTATTCGCGTCTTACGTGCCGCGACGTCGCGACGTCGCACGCCAAATTGAATTTCATAATCCAATGCAAACGGATTTACGCGGGACCTGTGCTCTGTGACTTAAAAACGCCGCGGAAGGTCGTAACTCGTAATAAGCGAGATATTACCATAAAGCTCGAGGAGGAGCAGGGGAAGGGTAATGTTGAGAAACGTTTTCTGGCGACGTGCATTTCCTTTTCTGTTCACGATCGAACTGCGGTCACCATCGTACGTACCCTTGTATGCGGCTTGCAATTATTCAACAAACTTATAAGTACCGGTGTCACGTAAAGCCGTAACCCGCGAATGTGTTGGCTTTACTTCGTCGTCCGATGTGAAAGAATGGTATCAAGGACAGGGACGAAAACGATTTCTGGTGCACGCGATACGTCTGCAACGTATCGGGCACGACGTGATAATATCAATGTAAATAAGGACACACACACACACACACACTTTGGAATGTTCTTTTTCGCAAATTATGCATGGTTTTGAAAAAACTTTTCCAACGTTTCTACGTTCGTTCGATCGAGAGATTATGTTGCGGCAAGGTGCTGGGACATTTTTCACAAACGGCCTCGTAGCGCTTATATTAATATGATTGATCGAAACAATGCTGCTACAGTATAGTTATCAAACAGAGATACGACTGAAACTAAGTATAAAAAGATTTAAAAAGATTTCATATGTTAGATCCTCAATTTTTTTTTTTTTTTTCTTTGTTTTATTAAACGTTTCAACTCTTCGGGGCAACGTATTAACACTGGAACTACTAGAAAAGTGGTGAGAATGATCAATTTATAATTTTCTATATTTCGTATATTTATGACAGTATGTTTTTAGACATTCGAATGATTTCTAATAAAATATGTTAATAGAAGATGTTGCATATGTTAATAGAAGATGTTCTTTGTTGTATTATTAACTTTCTCTTGTACTTTGCGCTAGTAACTGGTTCGCGGACCATAACGAGTGACCAAACCGTATATCGCTGGATAGAAATTACTAAGAAGTAATAAATTTATTATTTGTTTTTCCTGGGTTGTATTATTTCAATATACTTAAAACTGAGGAAATATTGCAATCTTGGGCCAAATATTCTCGACGTGCGTGTCATTCCAGGGCAAGAGGGTAAATTCTTTTGCTTACGAATATTATACTTTAATCGTTAAGAATAATTCAATGAACAATTTCGTCTGAAAGATTTTGTTCCAGTAAAATTGTTTCGCTTGTAACGCAGGATTAAATGTCAATTCAATAATCATTAACGTAATTTGTCGGACAAGTATTGAAGAAAATAGATGTAGAGTACATATGAAGATGCAAATATTTTCGCATAAATTCCGCGCAACGCCAGTTCAATGAAATCTACTTCGGGGAACGTTCACGTCCACTTCAAAATTGAACGTCAAATCCCGACGCGAGTCAATTAAATGAAACTGTGAGATACGCAAGTCACAGCGACACACACACACACACACACACACACACACACACACCTATAATAAACGTACGCGAGCCACGCGTAAAACTTCGTCCTTTACGCGTAATTCTTTGCGGTCAGGCTCAATACGGTGGTGTCTTTCCAACCTCAATTTATAGTTTTATACCTGCGGTAGGAGAGAAGAAGAGATACCTAATAGACAAGATTTACTACGGCACGCCCGTCTCAATTGCGGAACAAATTTATCTTCCCTGTGGTCAGCAGCCTTCCCACCGCTTCCTAGCCTCAATCTTGGTTCCGCTCCTCGTGAAATATTGGCTTACCCCCGAACTCGAAAGTTACTTGACAAACGAATCGATGTACGGCTGGGAGAAGGGAGGGGCAGGGAGGGGAGACGATTCCGGTGGGATTCCAGGCCCTGTAAACTTTCCCGCTTCAGAATGTTCCGGGGGAAAAGGAAAACTCTCACTTTCCTCCTTTTTCTTCTTTTCTTTTCCTTTCGTTTTCCCCTCTCCTCAACCTTTGACCGGACAGCATCTTTATATATGTAAACTACGCCAGCTCCGCCCCTGTCTCCGACGTCCAATTAATCCGACGATCTAACAGCTTCGGTGTTTATTTGTTTTAGGATACGTTTGCACCGTACTAACGAACCTTTTTGTAAAATTTCTCGTTCATTTAGTCGTTCGTCTGATCGAGCTACAGCTAGGATTGTAAAAATTATTTACAATTATTGAATTATTGATTATTTTGATTTACAAGCGAATTAACGCGTTTCCTACCGGCGAGTTTGGGAAGAAATGCCTTCAGATACGAGTCACTATTACTTTTTACATGTTAACAGTTATATAAAAATCGTATTATTTTTTTAATGCACATAATCCAATTATATGTTCTATATTTTGTGTTTTGTATATTATATGTTAATATTTATTATATATTATATTTTAATTTATAATTTATAATTGTATATTTTAATATTTATTATACATTATATTTTAATTTATAATTTATAATTGTATATTATATTTTAATATTTATTATATATTATATTTTAATTTATATTTTATAATTCATAATTTTATATTACATTTTAATATTTATTATATATTATATTTTAATGCACGTAATTTTGGTGTACATAACATATATTTATTTTTGATTATATCTTCATGTACAAACCAAACGTTCTACGATGCTTTGGAACGTTTGTAATTACTTTCATTCGTAAAAATAACGTTTTTCGAAGATTAGGCCCAGTCAGTGACGCACAGGCGTCAATAAAAAATGCATTAAGTTTCTTTTCTTAATGTTCTGAAAATTGCGTTTTCGTCAATTTTCGTGACAAATGAATTTCTTTTAATGTAGTGAACTAATGGCATAATTAAGCGTCATTATTGACACACGATGTGAAAATCAACTCTTTCTTATTATCATACTAGCGAATGCTTCTAGAACTTGCTATCTTTATAATGAATTCTCAATTTTTTAAACTGAGAGTGCCACTCGTCAAGTGAGCAACTCACATATATTCATATATTTTCCAATTATAATAGATCTCACTTTTTTATAGTACTTTTGTAGTTTTTTTTTTTAACAGTGAAAAATATAATTGATAACTTAATGACAATGAAAACTTATCGACGAAAAACATAATTTTCGTAAAAAAAGATCTCTGAAACTTGGTTTTAGTTTAAAGTTTAAAAACGTGAAGTCTTAATTTTATCTAATAGGGGAGGATACTTTCTCCTCAAAAATTATAAAAATTCAAACCTGCGTGAAAACACTAAAAAAATTTTTCGCGATTAAATCCATCATGGATTTTAAACATCAAAGCCTGCTCTTTACAACGTTCTCTTAAAATTCGCATAACTATTTTATCGAGCGTTGAATATTGAAGTTAAACGACAAAATCCAAAGAAAACCTATTTCTTCGAACAGGACAAATTTACGATTGTTGAAATAGACCAAATGGCTTTAAGATGAGAACAATGGGTCGGGCGACCTTGCTTTACAAAATTTAAATTATCAACAGTTTATCATTCTCGTTCCTGCAATTACTATATATCTTAAAGTCACGTTACACATTTTTATCCAATTGAAAATGAAAGTTCCTTAATCATTCAAACAAAATTTCGTTTCATAAATCGTTCGTAGTTTCGAGCGGAAGAAAAAAGAAATCTCAGCTGTGATTCTTACATAAATTTATCGAAACAGATTGAAATGCTGTGGTTATGAAGAAATAAATTTTCAGAGCAACGACACAGAGTAATTCAATTTAGGAAACCATTTCCCTAATTCAGACCAAATTGCCTCAAATCGAGTCACGTTTATTTCTCGTTGTATTGTACCTACACGCGTAAAAATTTTCGCCAAATTACACGCAAATTGCTCGCGGCTCTAACCCAAGGCTGATGGATAATTGCGTTCTGCATTTTAGAAATGTAACAGTTACTTATCAACGCTTTGCTGATTTACTATCAACTCAAATAATAATTACAATAATCTAAAACACACGGTGCATTATTAGAGTAGTTCGTAGATAGCGTAAAAAAAAAAAAAAAAAAAAAAAAAAAAAAAAAAAAGGTTTTCCTTTTTTTTTCACCCAAAAAAAAAAAAAAAAAAAAAAACGAAAGAGAATGTTTCTCTCAGATCCAGACAAGACTAAAACGGTTACGTTGATTTTGCAGGTTTCGCTTAGCGAAGGTACCAATGATTCCGACAGCTACGCGGTCAGAGTAACATCCGGTGATGCATGCTGGACGCTGCAACGATCTTACGATAATTTTGTTATGTTTGACAAGCAGCTGCATCGCTGCATATTCGACAGGAAGTTCTCATCTTTGACAAAGCTTCCAGACACACGGCCAAAAAACACCTGTGATATACTGAGGGACTATTTGAACCGGTTCTCCCAGTTAAATCATGAAGGCCTAAATTGCGGTCCTGTGTTAAATTGGCTGCAGCTAGATAACAGGGGAAGAAGAATCCTCGTGCCAGAGTCCGATTCATGCCCCATTAATACACCTGCAGTAGCCGCGGCTTATGCAGTCAGACCTTACGTGGCTCAGGCACCGGATGAAATCTCCTTTCAGGTATTCATTCTCCATTCCTCTCCTTCGAAAGGGAATTTCGAATGCAACAGCATTCCGTGCGAGTGGACTGCGGATTTTTATTCGTTTGTTGTGTAATCTCACAGTGGAAACAATGCATGGGACTGTGATCACAAAGTGCAGAGTAACAAGGAACATACAAAATGACACATTTATAACTTTACTCGTGTAATACATAGTACATTTGGTGTAATTTAATGATCATTGTATTGTAAATGGAAATGTTCAATATTAATATTTATACATTTGTAATTTGCACATTGTAAATTGATAGTCGTTGTCAAAAGTGATAGGGGAACAATCTAGTTGTAATATTGTAGTGGCTAAATTCTTTCGTCAATTGAAGATTCTTGACAATAGAGGAGTAAATTGTTTCTAATGAAACGTGACTTGGCTTCTCAGCTCTATAGCTTCTTATCATATATGTAATCTATCTCTGTCTGGTTAGTAACTTTTTTTGTAAACGTGTAAATATAACATAATTAGTATAAAAATGTTAATTCCTATAAATATCTACAATCTGCTAGTAAGAGTAAAGAAAAAACGAAGGAAATTAGCAAGTATACAGTATAATCCCTATCGTGAGATTTATTTAGTAGATTAAATAAATTATTACATTTAAATATATCTAGTATAATATAAAAGTATTAATTTGAATAAATATCTGCAGTCTGCTAATAAGAATTTGACTAGTAAAAACAAAAAGAAAAAAAATTAACAAAATTAATTTTAATTAATTAGAAATAAATATGTCCAATGTAATATAATACAAAAGTATTGATTTGAATAAATATCTACAGTCTGCTAATAAGAATTTGACTAGCAAAAACAAAAAGAAAAAAAAATGAACAAAATTGATTTGAATAAATATCTACAGTTTGCTAATAAGAATTTGACTAGTAAAAACGAAATGAACAAAATTGATTTGAATAAATATCTACAGTCTGCTAATAAGAATTTGACTAGCAAAAACAAAAAGAAAAAAAAGAACAAAATTGATTTGAATAAATATCTACAGTTTGCTAATAAGAATTTGACTAGTAAAAACAAAATGAACAAAATTGATTTGAATAAATATCTACAGTCTGCTAATAAGAATTTGACTAGTAAAAACAAAATGAACAAAATTAATTTTAATTAATTAGAAATAAATATGTCCAATGTAATATAATACAAAAGTATTAATTTGAATAAATATCTACAGTCTGCTAATAAGAATTTGACTAGTAAAAGCAAAAAGAAAAAAAAATGAACAAAATTGATTTCAATTAATTAGAAATAAATATGTCCAGTATAATATAACACAAAAGTATTGATTTGAATAAATATCTACAGTCTACTCTACAAGAATTTGTAAGAGCCAGTAAAAAGAAAGAGGAAAGAAGGAACCAAAATTTTGATTTTAACATGGGGATATTGATAAATTTCAGGTCGGGGACATGATTTCCGTAATAGATATGCCTCCTCCAGGGGAAAGTACATGGTGGCGTGGGAAGCACGGATTTGCAGTCGGTTTTTTCCCAGCCGAATGTGTGGCTGTGATCGGAGATAAAGTACCACGGCATCTGACCGTGTCAACGACAGTTAGATCGAAGTTACCCGTGAAACCGGTGCTTAGAAAGCACGGGAAGTTAATCGCCTTTTTCAGATCGTTTATACTGAATAGACCGTCTAGAAGACGATTGAAGCAGTCAGGGATTCTGAAGGAACGTGTATTTGGTTGTGATTTAGGGGAACATCTCTTAAATTCTGGTCAAGATGGTATATATACATATATATTATATATACATATATACAGGGTGTTTCGTAACTTGTGGAAGCTGATTGTACGCCTAAAAATAATGAAAAAAAGTCATACAAACGTATGTCCTATCTGTCTTCGTTTATGAGACATAATGAATTTTATAAACAGAGCAAACTCTAGTAAGCTCTAGTTTTATCTGGGATGATATATTCAATTTTCAGAATAACCATAATTGGGATGAAGAACACCCACATATTATTCTGCATTCAAGACATCAACACTAGTTTAGTTTAAATGGGCAGGAGTAATTGATAAATTTTTAATTGGACCTTTCTTTGCTTGATGGGAAACTAACAGGCACAAAGTACGTTGATTTTTTGAGCACGTGTTTACACGAAATATTAGAGGAAGTTCCAGTCGATATTAGANCCAGTGATATCATATCGACGAATTCAAAAAGAAAGCGACGAATTATTGTATACGGTTCGGTCACTCGTTATGGTCCGCAATTAGCTACCTGCGCAAGGAGTTAATCTCTTGCAATATTTTCTCACAATCAGCTTTGAGTATATTGAAATACAACCCAGGCAAAACAAATAATAAATTTATTACCTCTTGGTAATTTGTATCCAGTGATATATCGATGAATTATTGTGTACGGTTTGGTCACTCGTTATGGTCCGCAATCAGTTACTAGCGCAAAAGGTTAAGTTTACAGTTGTCTGTAGTTTGTCGATCGCTACGAACGAAAAATTGCGTCTGGCATGACACGGAATGAGGATTTTCGATGCAAATTCGTATGAGAAAGGTTTGTATGATGTTAGATATGAGCCGTTTATTTTGAAAGTGGCCCGAGTCCAAGCTATTTCTATGTTGTCTTTTCATTTTTAACCACTTGCGCTGCGGACCATAACGAGTGACCAAACCGTATATAATAAATCGTCGCTTTCTTTTTGAACTCTTTGGTACTCTGGTATTACTGGATAGAAATTATTGAGAAGTAGTGTTTATTATTTGCTTTGCCTGGGTTATACTTAAATATATCTAGGGTTATACTTAAATATACCTAGAACTGAGAAAATATTGCAATTTTGGGACAAAAAATTCTTGACGTGCGTGGCATGTCATTCCAGCGCAAGAGGTTAAACAAATTGCAACTAATATATTTAAAATCGCTAAGATTTTGTACACAGAAAATTAGCTGGTTGACGGAATGATAATTTTTATTTTGAAAGTGGCCTGAGTCCCATTTTAAGTATATTATGCAGTAAAATTTTATAAGATGAAATATATTTTTATATTCTATACTTTTTATTATTAAACTAGTGTTGAAAGTTCAATACAGAGTTAATTTTTTCTCAACCGGAGAGATTTCAAAGTCGGTTTCACCTTTTCAAACATGTTCTTTTCATTCATTCGATCGGTAAAAAAAAAAAAGTATCAACCCGACGCACGTCAAGAAATGATGTCTCAGCTCAAGAGAAACATTTGAATACCGAATAACTGTCGATTAAAAAATTTGCTCGTGTCTGCAGAAACGCCAGAGATCGCAGAACTCTTGAAAACTTTCGAAATAGAATCGAGCGGTCGCCGAAAATCACGCGGTAACGGCACGTTCTAGGAGCGTACCGTGAACCCGTACCGATTGTTCAACGAAACAGAAAACACACACAACAGGGACAAGGACGAGAGTGACAAAGGACTGCGCAGCCTCTCTTCTCTCTCTCTCTCTCTCTCTCTCTCTCTCTCGCGTGACAAGTTAACTGCGCGGCTAGATTATTGTCGAAATGCATTCGCGTGCGACAAAGCGTCGCGGCGTACACGACAGCATCCATACACTGTGTACAGTTTGACCGATAGGCGAGATCTTTGGCCAAGTAAACACGGTTAATGGAGTCGTTGCTCGGTGGCCTAAGCCAACGCGTCGCATGCATGGACGAGTGGAGTGAGAGAGCAGAGCGGTGGTGTAGAGAGTCTCTAGGCCTGGCTGGCTGGCTAGAGGGTATATATGCACGTTAATACGTTTGATACCTTGACTGCGTAATCTTTCGCAGGGGCAGGAGGTAATTAGCAGTAACGGACAGTTACGTCCGATATACGAACAATGGAACATTGCCGATGCGATGGGAATAGGAAGAGGGTGACGGGTGAGCGAGTATGATAAATGAACGGCGCCTGACAAGCGGCCATCGTTGCTCAATGATGGATGGTCGACGGTCCGCTCCCTAATTATTTCATACTTTGCAATCAGAACGATAATCCATCCGCGGTACCTGCAGCCTGTCACGGATAAATCATCGGTTATCATTTCTGAGTCACAACACGTGTGTGCGAGGCCTGCGTCACGAACAATCGGCGGAGAGCCTCGTGGCGGCGCATTAGCGTCAAGGCGAGTCGTTAATTCTACCCCATTCGAGTCGCCAGGATATCGCTTCGGATTCACCGAAATCGCCCCCACCGTTCTATGGAATTTCCAATTCATTTCGGCAACGTCTCCGTCTCTCTTCACCCCTTCTTCTTTCCCTCGCAACTATCTCTTCTACCTGTACGTTTTCTATTATTTGTTTATCATAGGTTTTCTGGTCATTCGTACCATTTATTCAATTTGCACTTTCCATTGGTTGCTCTTTGCAAGAACGAATCTCGATCGTTTCAACTTTCAACTTTGACAGAGTATAAATTGCAGATTTTTGAGAAATGATTTCGTTTAGCCTCGCTAATTGTATCGCAACAGACTATAGTTTTAAGTCTATAATTTTAATCGAGTCAGCAGAATGTCGAATTCACGGGAATCGTCTTTGTCCCTTTGTTCTGTTTGTGACTCTTTTATTTTTCTACTATTTGTAAGTTTTCTGCCATTTGTACTTTTTGTACCATTTGTACCATTTATTCTATTCGTACTTTCCATAAGTTTCTCTTCGTAAGAACGAATATCGATCGTTTCAACTTTCAACTTTGACAAAGTATAAACCGCAGAT